GATGTGGGCTCATCAAAGCCCACTCTCGTTGACACTCTTTCTCCAAAAAGGTCACAACTCCTAATTCTTCTAATCCTTTTAAATATTATCACTCCCTGGTGACTAAGCATTCAAATACATGAGCCTATGGGGGCCATTCTTACTGAAACCACCGTGTAAGTGAACTAAAGCAAGGTATGTATGGTGGTACATTCATGTAATCCTAGAACTTGGAGAGCTGGGGCAGGAGGACTGTGAGTTTGAGGCCAATCTCTGTACACAGTGAAACTGTCTCAAAAAAACCAAGAGCTGAGGATACAGGTCTGCAGTGTCCAAGGCTTGCCTAACATGTACAAGGCTCTGGATATAAACTCTAGTACCGCACACAGGAAACGAGTTCATATGTTTATTAATCAGCATTTCTCCAGTTCTTTTGCCATTTCTATCTGCCCAAATCAGACACTCTGGTTAAATTGAAACAGAGTCAAAGATTTGGAACATACCATCTTGCAGTGTCCATCACAGCCTTGGCTGCTCCGCAGTCACTGCAGGCTTCCTTCTTTCTCCCACAGCCTCTTACCCACAGACCTGCGGGCATCATAGACCCTCAGCACGGGGATGTTGAACTGACCTGCGTTTCAGCAAGCTGAACCCATCTGAGGTCCATGTAGAAAGGGGGCTGCATATGTCTGTGACAAAATACAGGAGGAAAACCACTTCCGTGAGGAAGGGTCCACTTTCCATTGAGGTTTAGAGGTTTCACCCATAACCCTCGACTGCCTTGGGCATGGTGTGGCAGAGCATGATGTAAGAACATGCAGGTGGAGCAGAGCTGACTGACATCTCATGGTCAGCTTGGGGCAGAAGAGGGAGGGTCTGGGGACAAGATGGAGCATTTTGAGATATATCCCAGCAAACTACCTCTTCCAAGCAGAACTACCTCCTACTCCTCCAATAAAGCTGTCACATTAAGACCCCTTTCAGCGGTGAGTACATTCATTAGGCTGTAGTAGAAAGACTGTTAGTTCATTCCTGGCTGCTCGACCCCCAAATAATCGCACAGAAACTATATTATTTAAATCACTGCTTGGCCAATCACTTAAGTGTATTGCTAGCTAGCTCTTATATCTTTGGTTAACCCATTTCTATTAATCTGGGTATCACCATGAGGTTACGGCCTACCGGCAAAGTTCTGGCTGGCGGCTCCAGTTCAGGTGTCTGCCTTCTTTCTCCCAGAATTCAGTTTACTTTTCCCACCCAGCTCTATTCTGCCTTGTTTATAGGCCCAAAGCAGCTTCTTTATTAACCAATGGTATTCACAGCATGCAGATGGGAATTCCACATCACCTACCCTTTTCTGTCTAATTAAAAAGGAAGGTTTTAACTTTAACATAGCAAGATTACATATAACAAAACAGGTATCAAGGAAGAATTACAGTTACAATACTTATATTTTACCTTTTATCATAACTAAGGAAAGCTATAATTATAACTATCTATTCTTCAACTCCATCAAAGACTCCAGAAGAATATAACATTACCTAAGTAAACAGGAAGTACATTGTAAGCAAATTCCAAAATTCTAGAATTGACAGAGACACCTTGCTGCCTGCACAGTCACCTAAAGCTCTTTTGTAACGTTGGAGCATCCATCTTCAGCCTACAGGCATATATAGTATCCAGCAGACATTTCCACGAAGCAGGAAATTTCAAAGACAGTTCCACCTATATTGGCA